GGAAACAGGTCAGCATTCTGAGATTAAAGTGAGAATTCTGAGTCAGAATTCTGAGATTAAAGTGAGAATTCTGAGTCAGAATTCTGAGATTAAAGTGAGAATTCTAAAGTGAGAATTCTGAGATTAAAGTGAGAATTCTGAGATTAAAGTGAGAATTCTGAGATTAAAGTGAGAATTCTGAGTCAGAATCTGAGAAAAAAGTCAGAGTTCTGAAATTGAAGTCAGAATTCTGACGTTAAAATTTGAATTCTGAGATTGAAGTCAGAACTCTGAGATTGAAGTCAGAATTCGGAGGAAAAAAGGTCCAAATTCTGAGATTAAAGTCAAAATTCTGAGAACAAAGTTAAGAGAACTATAAAGTCCAGAATGACCAATTCTAAGCCGAGATATGACCTCTTCTTCCCGCCTTCCATAGGGAACAATTGATCAGGTTGTCTCATTTTAAATCAGAACTACTCTAAAGAGGCGGATCAGATTCAGGCATGAGATTCGCCCAAATTATTAGCAATACCATTTATATGTAGCCGATAAATAACCCGTTTAAATGCATTTTTTATTCATAAAACTACAAAATCTAATTCAATGTATTTAAATTCTGTATACATGTTTAAGGTCAGGCCAAACCAAACGGACTAAACAGTGGAAGCTGCAGGGGCCCCTCCTACATCCCACAATCAGTACATGAGTTAACCTTACCATGTGCACAAGTTGAAGAAACTTATGAAAGTCCAAGTCGTTTGTTTGCAGCGTTTTCTTAGAATCCTGCGGCTTCCCGAAGCGCAGGTCGTACACAGTAATCATTTTGTTTATTGTTTAGGAAATGTGGACCTCGTCAAAACTTTCTAGGTATCAACAACCGTGAGTCCGAGGACGATTCGTGGCCCTTTGAGGCATGTCCCTGCGCTGGTTAGAAAACCTCCTGCGTCTTATCTGTTTGTTTTTGCTTTGGCTGTGAGCCTTTTCGCATCGCGGTATGTTTTGCGTACTGGTGTGTAACGTTTCTCGGCTAAACGTAAAGAGTAAAAGAGTGTCGTTATGCTGGAGCTAATCTGGGACTTCCGAATCTTTTCCTGGATCCTCTTCAATTGACTTCGCTCGTAAAAGACTCGTTTTTTTCGCTCAGAATTTTTCCTAATTCTTTTCCCAATTTATTAAAAGCATGATGCTTAAAACGAATCTACGTATTTTACCTGAAGCTTATGCTAACCTAATTGACTACAATTACAATCAGAATAACATGTTTTGCACTCAAACAAGGAACTTGACAACAGGGCCACTTCTATACTGATATTTTAGATACTACATGTGGATTTGGTGGGATATAAAAATGAACAAGGTTTTAAGAAGAAGCCTTATTTTGAACAAAAACAGTATTTTACTCTCATATGTACTAGCACATATTAGAATAGAATAGAAAATTCCTTTATTGTCCCACAATGGGGAAATTTTGGTGTTTACAGCAGCAAAAAGATTATACAAAAGAATGGTCACACAAAAATGCATAGGAATAACATAATGAATAGTTAAAAGATAAAATACTGTACTGTAAAGTGTTTTAATGATATAAAACTGTGCACATGGAGAATAAATGATAAATATACAGCTATGGATATTTTTACAGTAATGGATATTTGAAAATAGCAGCAAATCAGAGATGTGCAAAATGAGAGCACATGTTATTTAACTGACTAAGGTAGAAACTGTGCCAAATCAGCATGAATGTAGCAACTTATTGAGGTTGTTGGAAACATGGTGGTTGCAGCTGCTGAGAGGAAGGATCCCTGGTGTGTTTAGGGTACAGCATATTACTACACTTCTCTCAAACTCTACATTGGTACATGAATGAAAATTTTAGTTTGTAATACTCAGCTTCACTTGTGATTTATAGTTGACCAAAGAGAGGTTGAACCTGCAGTTTTATAATGAGACTGTTTGCTGATAAGTTTTAATGTTAAGCATAGACCATTTGCATGATGGGCATTTGGGGTATTGTAGTAAACACCCAGATAATGTTATGTTCTCTCTGTTATGTTCTTTTTCTCATAGTAGCTTTGCCTCATTTGTTCCTGTTTGGCTGTGACACCATCTTGGAATGAATTATCAGCTGTGCTGCCGCCATCAATAACTTTGTTTATAGATATTGGAGATGGGCCTGTTTTTCAGTGTAGTCCTGATTCTCTGACTGTGACTGTCTGGATGTGCTCTCTTTATCCTCTGACATGGGAGTTGGCTCAGAGCTCGTCTGCCTGGCTGTGTGTTTCCTGGACGGGGCCGCCATTTACAGTTGCTTTTTGTGTCTCCTTGGACCCCAGTCGGCCTCGGCAGATGGCCGCTCACACTGAGCCTGGTTCTGCTTGAGGTTTCTTCCTATTAAAAGGGAGTTTTTCCTCTCCACTGTTGCTACAGTACAAGCATGCTTAGTGTGAGGGATTGCATTCGAGTCAATGAGTCGATGCAATCAACTGGTTTTCCTTAATTAGAAAACTTTGAATCAATTAGACTGTATGATCTGGTGAACTGTAAAGTGAGATGACATGTGTTGTAAATTGGCGCTATATAAATAAACTGAATTGAAATAGAAGATGACTTAGGAATGGAGTGTTCGCCGTTCGTTCATATAAAGACTCGGCACATACAGTCGAATCGGTCATCATCGGCACATACGTCTCACCGACGACTCCCCAACTACTTCCTGGGAGGAGCCGACTGTTATTTACTCGTTGCTTTCAATATCGTTTACTTGTAAATGAAATCTTAACGCGGTGATATTTGCAGTAAAAAAGGTGTGGCCGACAAGACAAAACAAGAAAACACACCTGTCACGTCTAATGAGCCAGTGTGCCTTTGCAGCTCCAGCATGTCGGTGGTGCTGCAGGGCAACTCAGGCTGGGTGCTGGACTCACTGTCCCTCATTGACCGAGGCTATGAGCGATGCATCCGATGGACAGGGCTTCACAAATCACACGTGAAGTGTAGTTTTAACAGACAGTGTTTTCAGATATTAAAGAGCCATTTTAAGCAGGAGGTTAGAACCGGTGTGGGTGGAGAAAGCAGTGATGTTATGCAGAAAACAGACAAACAACCAAAGGTAAACTGCTGCTGCTGCAGGCTACACACGTTGAGTTTGAAGAGCAATGCACATTTAAATAAGGCTGCAGCCAAACACATTGAAAAACATTTTGAAGCATCCTACCAATGTTTTAAATCTTACTCCAGGGTTGATGCTTTTGGGCTAGTTTTAGTTGTCTTTCAATTGTTTATATATTTTTGTTGTTGTTGTTTCTTTATTTTTTAGAAACATTAAATATTTATTTACTGTTGGAAAATATTTTAATTTCAGAAACGTAAGCGAAAACATACTGAGCTCAACCAAGGGGAAATTGATGCAAAGGCTTTTCACGAAAAGGTGAGTTTTCAATGTATATAAAATGTATCAAAAGTATAGAAACTCTTCTAAGCTTTGGCCAAATGACTAGTAAATGTGGTGCTGATATGGTGATGAATTTGTACTATAGAAAAAAAACAAAACAATGATTGCTGTAAAGTAAAAGGAAAACAAGATTTGCATACATTTTCTCTTTTTATTTGAAATTCAAAAGGTGTGTATTTGCATGCAATATGTACTTTACTGAACCACATTTCAGCTTCATTTTAAAGACTTAAAACTCTGCTATGGGGTCAAAATTGTTGCTTTATTATTTGCAAATGTGTGTGGAGAGTTGTGAATCTGTATCCCGATTTGTGTGCAGTGGGATTTGAAAATATGTAAATTAAACTGAAAGTGTGTGAGATTTGTGTCTCTAAAACAATCTGCAAATGTGTAAAACTACTTGTGTGTGTAATAATGTAGATTTGAATGCAGATTTGTGGATTTTTTTTTTTTACACATTTGCAAACCAGATTACACACACAAGTAGTTTTACACATTTGCAGATTGTTTGACAGACACACAACTCTCCTCACACATTTACAGTTTCATTTACACATTTTCAAATCCCATTGCACACACACAAATCAAGATACAGATAAACAATTCTCCACACACATTTGCAAATAATAAAGCAACAATTTTGGCGCCATACTCTGCCAGTTCTGTAATCTGTGGACTGATCTATTTGTGTTCTTATTCACAAAAAGGTCAAGCACAGGCAACTTTAAAACTTGCTTTTGATTCTTAACTAAATAGGTCTGAACTATAAGAGCACAATCTGACTAGACTTTTCTAGAACATAGTTTTGTTTTTTGCCGTGCCATTGTAGCTTTATTTTATTTGTTAGTTGCTGGTCTCTTGTCTTTTGCAGTTATGTTTCACCCCAGAGCAACATGCTGCCATCACCATGTCTTACTATGGCTTTGTGTTTTCCACCACTAATGGTATTTTGCATATAGGCCGGAAAGCTCCTCTCCCTGTTTTCTGTTCTCAATTGGAAGATGCTATACAGTGTATGAGTGCTTTAAATCTTTCCCTACACTCTTCCCATTTTCAGATGATAGGTTGAACTTTGCACCTTGAGCTTTTCAAAGCTTGTTTTTTGAAGCCTTAACTCTGGTTTACCTATTTCTAAAACATTATATAATATTATATCTCACCTGTCTGCTGTGTTAATTGATATTCATGATTCTATGCTCCTTAATGTTCTCTAAAAAAACCTTAAAGGCCTTAAGAGATTAGCTGGATTTATACAGAGGCTTCAATTCAAATCTCTCAATTGTTATGCACCATTACGGAAATCTGTCAATAATAATTACAGATAAGTGAAAAGTATGACAGTAAGCTAAAGGATCTTGACTGGAGAGAAGGTATTCACACCCTGTTGAAGTTTCCCATAGGTTGATTGGTTAAGAGAGAGTTGTTGAAGTTGAAGGAAAGGCTGAGGTTAATGTTAAATGTGGCTTAATCAAGTGATATTTCTTAGAGAAAAATAATTCACATCATCTAATGAGGACAACTCACCCATTTCTAATTCACCAAAGAGTTACATGAACTTTTAAATAAAAGCAAATTGAAGTGACTTAGACTAACTGTATCGTCATTTTGTACACACTGTGTAAACAAAGTGAAATTTCGTTTAATACAGCTTTCCGACAGTGAATGAGCATGAGCTTAACAAAAATGAACATTTCCATTTATAAAGTGCAGCAGTGAGTGAGCAGTAGGAGAGATATGGTACAAAAGGCTCAGAGCAGTGCAAAAATAAATAAATAGATAGGGTGCAAAATGCAGTAGAAACACTGAGTTGACTTCTATTTTGAAGATTCATCAAGTGAAATGTTTCTATGAGTTTTGCAGTATCTCAGATTTTATCCATGGATCCAACAACACTTAGACACACTTCTCAACTATAGCAGCACATTTGTTATCTGCTATTATCTGTCATTATTTATCCTGTATTATAACCCCACTAATATATATAAAATCCATATCCTAACTTTCCTGTGTNTCAAGTGATATTTCTTAGAGAAAAATAATTCACATCATCTAATGAGGACAACTCACCCATTTCTAATTCACCAAAGAGTTACATGAACTTTTAAATAAAAGCAAATTGAAGTGATTTAGACTAACTGTATCGTCATTTTGTACACACTGTGTAAACAAAGTGAAATTTCGTTTAATACAGCTTTCCGACAGTGAATGAGCATGAGCTTAACAAAAATGAACATTTCCATTTATAAAGTGCAGCAGTGAGTGAGCAGTAGGAGAGATATGGTACAAAAGGCTCAGAGCAGTGCAAAAATAAATAAATAGATAGGGTGCAAAATGCAGTAGAAACACTGAGTTGACTTCTATTTTGAAGATTCATCAAGTGAAATGTTTCTATGAGTTTTGCAGTATCTCAGATTTTATCCATGGATCCAACAACACTTAGACACACTTCTCAACTATAGCAGCACATTTGTTATCTGCTATTATCTGTCATTATTTATCCTGTATTATAACCCCACTAATATATATAAAATCCATATCCTAACTTTCCTGTGTAGTCTGTATATAGGTTTCATTTTTATTTATTTTATGGCCTTTTACAATTACTCTCTGCTTATATATACCATTTATAGTCCATGCCTACATAGTCTCTTTGCACATGTAAATAAATATTTATATCCTGTGTAGCACTTCTGGATAGACGCAAACTACATTTAATGGCTTTGTACTTGTGACAGTTTAATGACAATAAAGTTGAATTCTATTCGATGTTAGAGGCAGGCTGATTAATTCCATAAATAATTTTTTTGGCAGATTTTTCAGACTGATTTCTGATAACAATATTGTTGTTGGTCACCCCTATTGTGTGCTGACCTGCTATAGTAGTTTAAAAGTGACTGAAATACGCCAGGACAGAAAAATCTGAGTCCAGTCAGTTGCGTTTATCTTTTGATCATTCTTGACCCACTTTTTTCATAGCGAGAACATAAAATAATGCCATGTTTATTTTATTTATTTATTATTCTTTGTCATAGATCAGGAGCGTTATCCTGGAAGGAACACAGTCCTTGGTGGATTCTGCACGGTCAGTTGGATACTTTGGTGGAGAGACAGACACTTCCAAAGATCCTCTTCCTTCCCAGGACTGCAGTCTTGCAGCGCTATGTGAGATGGCCAAAGAGCTTCCTCTAGTGAACGATGATCAACAGCAGTGGACACAGTCTCTTTTCACAGAGGAAGGCTCCGTTTCACATGTTGATCTCTTCTCTCAAGTGACTGAGAACAGGGAGGCCTGGGCAGCAGTGGTATCACTGATGGGAGACGACTATATAATACCTCCTAATACTGCTTTCCTCCTCTCTGATTTCACAAGAATACAACCACTTTTGCAATGTGAGTTTAATAACAAAAAATAGTAATGTAGACAATTTGTAATTCTACTAATGTCTGGAAAAGATGTCTAACA